CAGATGTTCACACTCACCCACCCTCCCTCCCTCCATCCCTCCCCCCCTCCTGTCTTGCCCTCAGTCTTTCTTCCTCCCTCTCCCTCTCTCTTCTTCTCTCTCTTGTCCCCTCCTCTCTCCATTCTCTCTCCATCCTCCTTCCTCCCCCTTTCTCTGTGTATGCCAGGCTGGCTCCAAACTCAGATTATTTTCTCCTTTTATGTGAACGTCATAAACCTAGATTTGGCCCTGAAATGAGAGCTTGTCTCTGTATGACACCAGCTTCATTCTGAGTTTCCCATTAGACATTATTATAGGGGGAAATATAAAACCAAAGGAACACCTAAATTCAAGACTAGCAGCTATGAACCATAAGGCTTTGCTCTACAGCTCACATAGAGATGACAGTGTATTGACATTACCTGGCTTAGTGTCTGTTCCAGCCTGGCTGTCTTTAAAACAAATGTAGAAGGGTTGTTCTCACTTGCCTTGCTTCCTTCAAACCAAACTGAATAGGCGGTTGCATCACTTGCCAGGACAAGTAGTAGAATGAGTCAAGATGGGACCAACCCCAGGAAGAATTGTGAATTAGGCAGTTTGACTTCAGTGCCACACCTACAAGTACTACATACACCTTCCTGATCCCCTCCCTTGTATCATTAGCCCCGAGGGTCACCAGCATACCACAGGCCTCTCCCCCTTCACATCACTGAAACTCACACTACCCCTCTTGCCTCTTTGCTAATAATTAAAATTTACTGCTTCAGTTTCTCTTTCCCTCGGGGGTTTAAAGTGACAGCTGCCTAATCTGATAATGCAATCCACATTAATATGTAGACAGAAAGCTAGAAAGGTGAAGTGAATTTTAACCATGATTGTCTAAAGATAACACCTTTACAGGTTAACTTATTAGCAACTTGCTGTGAGAATTTCCAGTCGGAATTTAGGTGTTTGGGCACAGGGAAATCCCTCAGCATGGGCAATCCAAGTAGGAACAGAGGGATCATATTAGGTAGACATACGGCCAGCACTAATCTGAGAGATAACCTAGCCTGGTCAAGGTGGCAAGTGAGGGACAACCAGAAGAAATAAATATCAAGAAGCTTGTGGGGCAAAGGAAGGTTGAATTTTAGGTGATAGAACAATTTTTCTATCTTTTACAGGGCTAGCTAGTCCTAGGACCTACTAGCATTATCCAAAGTTTATCTTTAGAAGAAAACTTACTTTCATAAAACATTAACTAATTCTCCGAACCATATTGCTTTCTCCCATTTTTAATGTTTTAAAGCACTACTTTGGAGTTTACAAACCATTCTCGGACAGACTCGTATCTCTGTTTGATCCTGCAGAATGCTTCCAACCTCTAAAGTGTTTATTTCCTCTACTTTATAGTGGGAAAATGAGGGTCACAGAAGTCATATATCTTGCCAAGATTTGTACGCAATTCTTCTGAGAGTAGGGCTGTCCTCACCACTTCTGAACTACCAGACAGCCTCTCCTCTCTTTGCCCTTGCTGCCATGTAACTATGTCCTAGGGGGATTTTTGTATTTAAAAGAGTCCAGTTACTCCTCCAAAAGAAAATAACCTATGTATTCAGTGCCCCCCCCAGGGTAACTGTATTCCTATCTGATTTGAGTCGCTCTACCTCCCAACCCCCAGGTAATACTTCATTCCCTGGAAAGTGTGAACAGTACCCAGGCCTCACAAAGTCTTGAGCACTGGAGCTGGCATGCTCCAATTACCTGCTCATGTTTGGGTGAATAACTTATCTTGCTCCTGCTTCTTACCTGGGCAAGATTCCCATCACAGTTCTCAGTCTGTTTAGCAAGAAGGAACAATATGTTTCTGGGCTTAAGGAGAAAAACACTAACATGGCCCATCCAAGCCAGAATATGAATGTTTCACACTGAGAAGAGTCTATGAAACCATCTGGGAAAACAGTGCTGTCTGTGTACAGATGTAGATGGACTCAATTAATTTCAGTCTTTAAGGGAAAAGGGGTCATTTTTAAAGTGACTGATATTTAAATCATGCAATCTTAACATTTTAAAGAGATTGAGACCCTCCCCCCTTTTGTGGGTGTTTGTTGAACAGAGAGATGATTTCCTTAGAAACAAAATTTAATCAGGTGCAAAATGTGATATAGCCTTGGGCTGTTGGTCACTCAGAAACCATCTTTGGGACGCATGGAGTTCAGAATAGTCCATGTGGAATGGAAGGGCCATCCTTCAGCGAACTACAACATATGTTCCATGTATGTGAATGATGTAAACAGAGAACTCACTCCACAAAGTTGTCCTTTGACTCCCACATGCGTGTGCACACATGCACATTATATGTACACACATGCACATTATATATACACACATGCACATTATATAGGTACACATGATACATACAATAAAGTAAACAAAATCTTTAAAATGAAAAAATATAAAGTATGATAAACAAATCCACAAAAGTTGCAGAAGAAAACATTGGAGGCTATTTTTGGTAACAGGAAGTAAACTAGTTTGTAAGCACACAAAGATGGTCATAAAAGGAATTAAAATCATTCTAACTTGCACTGCTTTGTTTAATTTTCTAGTCCCTTGCCCTCAGTTCCTTTGTTGCGTAGTCTGACAGAAAGCATTCTTGCCTTCTTCCTGACTTCAGCGTAGTCTGACAGAAAGCATTCTTGTCTTCTTCCTGACTTCAGTGGGAATAAATACAGTATTTCATTATAATGCACATTGCTAACTTTGTTGTAAGACATGTATTTTAAAATTATGTTTTCCAAATTAAGTTTTTTTTATTAAGAATGGTGCTGGATTTACAAAAATTATCAGCATCACTTGAAATGCACCATTTTTTTCCTTTGACCTAGGAACATAGTCTACTACATACATTTTTTTTTCTATTACTGGACTCTTTCTATATACCTGAAATAATTCCTCTTAAAGTTGGCATATCATTTGTAAGATAGTACTGTGTCCTATTTGTTAATTCTTTCGTTATTTTTCTAAAAAATACATAGTGTATTCAAAAAGATTAACCTTTTGTGGTTTTGGTTTTATTTTAAAACCAACCTTTCAGCTCCTGCCAAACAGAGAGGATTACAGTAGTAAGAAGCCTTGAGGGCAGACACCTGAAATGGCTTCATACAAAAGGATAAAAAATGTTCACAACACTGTAGTTAGTCCATTTTTGTGGAAGTTCACAGCCACTATTTTCTCCGTTCTGTTGTACCTTCTTTCTGACCGGTCACAAGCTACGCCAAGCTTTATGGGTGATTCTTTTCTTTCCAATAAATGTATCAATTTTCTTTCAATGGGGAACAGCGGCAAGTGTTCTGTTTTTGTTCCTCCAAACAGGCCTCTCCCTATCTTACCTCCCTGATAAATGAACCGGAACATTCAAAACTGGGGGAAGGGCTCCAACTATTCTGTCTCCACTCCAGCAGGCTGGCCTTGCTCACTGTTATTTACCGACTGGCTCATTTCTCCTGCTGCTCCCTAATTTTATGTCGTTCCTGTAGCTTCTTTCCCTCATTCGGAGTCCAGATTACGTTCCCTAACTCCCTAACTTTTCCTTCGCTTAAGTACTAGAAGCTGGCTGAACCTTTTGGCTCTGACTTTTAAATTGTTTCTAGAATGCCAGCTTTCTCCCTCGGGTTTCATGTTTAGCTCCTTGAGGACAGGGACCTTAGACTTGGGCTGTGCATGTTCCACGGAGTTAGAGGAGTCCCATTCGGCGCATGCTTGCAAGGCATATTTGAAGACATCCATCATAGTTATTCATTTGGTAAATGAGATAATGAAAACTCAAATAGTAGCCAAAGGTAAATCATTAATTAATTCCCTCATTCATCACACCTGTACCAAAGCCTCAGGGCCTGGAGAACCTAGGATTGCAGCTCTCCTGGAGAAGCCACATGACCCTCGTGTCTCCATTTTGAGAAGATTCATTAAGTAATAAAGATCCATTTAGGGGTCTCAGGCAAAATTAACCGTGTGTGTGTGTGTGTGTGTGTGTGTGTGTGAGAGAGAGAGAGAGAGAGAGAGAGAGAGAGAGAGTGTTAGTGAGTATATTAGAATGCTATGTGGTACTTCCAAGAACAAAAACTTTCAAAACCCAGATCACAAGGTGCCATTCTGCTCACTAATTTTCCTTGCAACTAGTTGAAATTACGTTTTAGTTTGCAGGAAAGAAATCACCATCAGGATACGCCTTCGCCAAGTTGTAGTGTGTCTAGAAAAATAGTTCATTAATCGTGTCCCTTTACTGGAAAAACTTTAAACGTGGGAATCACCAATTTCACAAAATAACAGGACAAGAATTTCCTTGGTTTTTACGAAAACGTGAAAGCATTTGAGCTTTCAGGGGCGGGGGGCATTTGGGGCTGTGCTGCCACAGCACACTCCCTTGGGAGTCTCTCGGTAGCTGTGGGAACTTTCACCGAGCTGTCTCCACTGCCCACACCATTCCTCGGTTGCCATGTAGCTGGGGGAGCTGGCACCGGGAAGCTCGCTCGCTCCCTCAGCCTCCCGGGTCGCGCAGAGAGAATCTGGAAGTCAGGCTGCTGGGAGGGGGAGGGGTCACTTAGATCGCCCGGGCCGGGGTTGGCAGCCGGGCGTTTGTCATCCTCCCCCGCGCGCCTCGGAAAGTTTGTTTCTGAAGTTGAGGAGCTGTGAGGATTTTGTCCTCAGGTCGACGCCACGCATGAGCGCGCGACAGCAGTAGCAGCAGCAGCAGAAGAAGAACTTGGCTGCAACGCCATCACCCTGAGCGCCGAGGCTCAGTCAAAAGAAGAGCGCGGCGCCCAGGCCCCAGGCACCCGTTGCCACGGCAACCGGGGCGCTGGTCTCCCCGGCGATTCCGTCCCTAGAGACGGGACGGGGCGGGGCTCCAGGCGGACCAATACGACGGAGAGGAGCGTGGGTCTGAGACCCACGGTCCTATCCGGGCGCGGACATGGTTGAGTGACAGGGAGGGGGCGGGGCCAACGCGTCGGGCCGAGGAGGAGCTGCGCGTCTGGCGCGCGAGGAGTTCGGCCGGCCGCGCCGCGGCGAGGGTGACACACACACCATGGTCACAGCGCCCGAAGGACTCCGCGCCGCTGCCGAGCAGCACTCCCCGGCTCTCCCGTCCTCCACAGCCGCCTGGGCCGCGCCGTGCGCGGGCGGCCGTCGCTGAGGCGCTGCGAAGTCGCCGCGGGCCGGCGGGAGCTCGGTGGGGGTCGCCGCCCGGCGATGCTGCTGCTTCTCCGGTCGCCGTCCCTATCCGCGCACTCCCGAAGCAGCTCGGGGAAGAAGAGGCGGCGGCTCTCGGCGCCCGCGCGCTGCGCTCCGGTGGCTGCACCGGGGCTCCCCCACGCACCGGTAAGAAGCACGCGCGGCCCGGCCGGGTCGGCGAGATGCGCGGAGCCTCCCGGACGTCCCGTCGGGTCCCCTCCCCTCCCCCCGGCCCCCTCGGTTCCGTCGGCTCGGGTGGTGGGGTGCGCCGAGGGTGCGATGCACGACTCATGCAGAGTCTCGCCCAGGCAGAGACTCCCCCCCCCCCCCCCTCTCCGCTGTGGGAGCGGCGGGCCGTGTGGGTCACACACTCAGCGAGTGACATTGCCCTGTGGAGCTGGTGCGGACGGCGCGCGCGGAGGGAAGGGCTCCCGGAGTCTGTTTCGAATTTCTGTAAATGATTGTGGAGATGGTGTGGTGAGAGAGAGGCGGCCCAGAAGAATGCGTCTGTGAAAGGGATCGGAGAAGGGGGTGGGGACAGGGGGACAGAGGGACACCGCCTGATCAAGCCCTTTTATTAGTTTGCTTCTCTTCGCTCCTGGTCAGTCTTGCCGCCGAGCCTCACTTTAGCTCGTTAGGCGAGCGCGGAGAGCTGCAGAGTTAAAAGTTAAGCCAAAGTCACGGAACTTTTGGAAATCTAATTTCCCTCTGTTGTGTGTTTGGGGGGGGGGGCGGGGAGACACAGGGACGAGTTATACAGCAGTGCAGGTTGCTTTGACTTTACCGGACTTAAGATGGACACCTCCCCACAATTGCGACTAATCTTTTCGACAACCTTCTGTTATTTTCGCTTAATTGCATCTTTGAAATAACAAACGCGGTGACTTCATAGGGAGCTGCCTGGAGCTGAGTTTACTTCTCCGAAAATGGGGCAATCGGGTTTGTTTTCAAGGCGGGCCCTGCACAAAATGTGGGACACCTGAGCTGTGGGTTGAAGGACGCTGCTAACTAATTAGGAAGATTTAAAAAGGTGTATCTAGAGAGCTTATTAAAGGATGGGAAGGGGGAAAAGTACCTGTATTATGAAACGGGTTGGTATTTTCCCAAATTCTTTCAAACCGGCTTCATTCTCATTGTCTGCCAGTGGTGATGAGATACAAATAATTTCTTCACGTGAAGTTTTTTTTGTTTTTGTTTTTGCTTTTTTTTGTACAAGTTATTTCTTGAAGCTTTGTTTTTTTGTTGTTTTTTTACGAAGTTCCTGAAGATAATGACTCAATAGATTCATAAATTCATTCAGATAAATACCCTGTCATCCAGTCCTACGTGTACTTTGCAGTGTTTTTCATAACATTATGTTCTAAATTCGGTGTTCTCCAGTTTTCCTGGAAGTACCTGTGGGGAGAAAGGAGACGGCTATTAGAATTTCAAATGGAAGCTATTCATGATTAGTTAGGAAAAAGGATACATAGTGTCTTTTCACTGTCAACATCAGAGAACTGTGACTTCCTTTTCTAGTACATAGATTTGTCTTTGAATTTACATTATCCCACCAGCATTTTCTTATGCCAAGCCTTTCCTGTTTGTTTATTTATTTATTTATTGTAGGATCATTATCAACATCCAAAAGCACACACACACACACACACACACACACACACACACACACACACACACACACACACACACCACGTTCAGTTTAAAGGGCAGATTTGAATAGCACAATAGGGTGTCAAAAGTTGTAAAACTTGTTTTTTCTTGTTTGTTTTTAAGATGCTCCTTAAGTTCAGGATTTCAGCAGGAGAATTGACTGGCCATTTGTTTTAGGGTAGATAGTAGGTGTTCACCTTTTAGATGGTGGTGGGATGGGGCTGGGAGTGGAACCCAGGGCCTTGCACAGGCTAGGTGGGTGCTTCATACTGAGCTGCATACCCACGCCTAGGTCTTTCTCTTACAGAGCTTGTATTTTATTTAAGAGAAATGAGTCTAGCCATGTTTCATCTGTTATATTTAAGAGAAATGAGTCTAGCCATGTTTCACCTTTAACAGATTAGGGACTGGGTGGGTGAGCATTGTTGCTTGTCCATCAACAGCTGGATGTTTTTCTATTTCATCTTCTTGCCAAGTCCCAAATCTATTGTAGAAAATGAGTATCTGGGAAAACTGGAAATTCTTTTTTCTCTATTCCTTCCCCTTTCTTTCTGCCATTTAAAAAAATAAAATGTGAATCACTTTTATAGTGTAATGAAATTATAATTAATGGTATTTAAAACTGAGATGAAACACAGCCTCGCTCCAAGCCAGTACATTTGTTGGCATATTCTTATTTGGAATGTGTTTTGGGGAGTCTGTACCTCTCATTAGAAGAGTGAGTTTAAAGTATCAGGTCTCTGATGCAAATGGCATGACTCCTTTGATTTCATATCACTTTAAAAAGTAGGAGACTGAGAAAAGAGGCAAGATACTGCAGCTTAGGATAGAAAGCTCTTCTCTAACGGCAAAGGTAGGACATTTGCAACTCTGGATTCTCCCTCCCCCACCTCCTTTCCTGAAAGTTTTTCTCCATTTAAAAATTAAATCGGGTCTAGCACACAGAAACTGTATGTTTTGAAAAATAGCTTTTCATCAGTAAATTGACATATGGGCTAGTTAAAGTTATAAATTTCATGTCACATCAGAACTAGCATGCTAGCTACACTGAGAGAGGAGACCTTATAATAGTCTAGGGAAAAGTGGAAACATTTTTAAAAGATCCTTCCATTCTGCTTAGTGTTGTGCTGTGTTTTGAGACAGGGTCTCTCTGCGGAGCCCTGGCTGTTCTGGAACAACCTATGTAGACCAGCCTGGCCTGGAATTCACAGAGTTCTGCGTCCCCCTTTCCTTCTGAGTGCTGTGATTAAAAGCATGCATTACATACACCCTACTCTAGTTTCTGTGTCTGTGTCATGAGCAAATCCCCTGTTCTGTCTAAACTCCATTCCCAAATGTGTGGCCATTATTAATAGCTTGTAAAGCAGTAGGAAACCAACTGTTTAATTATTTACAAAAACCAACAAAACAAAAGAGTAACTCCCAAGAGATCACATATAGAAGCTGGTGTAGATACAACACCTAAACTTAAAGTGTTTCTGTCATGGCTTGTTATCTGATTTATAGGAGCCTTAGGAACTGAGGCTGCACTGTTACCTGTTTAGATGTCTGATTACCCTATGCCTGAAACTTGCTTTTCTATTGTTTTGTTTTCACGATGGAAAAGTATGAAAATGTTTTCAAAGAAACTGCCTGGAGCAGAACCTGTGCTGAGGAGTTCAAAGGCCCCAGCTGTCTGGCAGAGGTCTCCAAGTCCCAGAGACCTTCTGAAGGTCATTCAACAGTGTCTCCCTCCAGTTTAGCTAGAAGATGAGTTTAAGTGTGTGCAGACATGGTTAAGTGCAAGTTCACAGTCTTGTTCAGCCTGTTTGCTCTCCTTGCTAACCTTTTACAGAAAGAAATACCATTCTTGACTACGGGAGCTTGTGACTGTCTCCTGAGATCATTTCTGAGTGTCTAGACTGGTGGCTCTCAACCTTCCTAATGCTGTGACCCTTTAATGCATACAGTTCCTCATGCCTAGGTGACCCCCAGCCATAAAATTATCTTGGTTGCTACTTCCTAACTGCAATTTTGCTACTGTTATGAATCATAACATAAATATCTGATATGTGACCCTAGGAGGTTGTAACCCACAAGATGAGAACCACTGGTAACTCACATTTAACATTAGAGTTCTTTTGTTTTGTTGTTGTTGTTGTTTTCATTTGAATCTGGGTTGTCCAAAGGCCATCAAAGAAATATCTACCTCATTTAGGTCCATGTTTCCTTTCTTGTGTTCTTTGTAGCTTAGAGTCACTTAGATAGGTTTTTTGGTTTTGTTTTGTTTTTCGAGACAGGGTTTCTCTATTGTTTTGGAGGCTGTCCTGGAACTGGCTCTGTAGACCAGGCTGGCCTCTAACTCACAGAGATCCACCTGCCTCTGCCTCCCAAGTGCTGGGATTAAAGGCGTGTGCCACCAATTCCCGGCACTTAGATAGGTTTTAATACTTTTTATGCTCAGACATCCCATATCAAATAAAACACTCCTTAAGGTAAGATCCAGGCATCTGAAGTTCTAGAAGCTACTCAAGAAATTACACCACAGACATACCTTTGGAAGCAATGCTCTATCTTCACTTACATAGTATAGAAAACTCAATTCTCACAAAGGCAGCCATCTTCTAATGTCATTATAGTCATTCTGTGTGTGTTTGTAATGTGCATGGGAGCATCTGCACATGCATGTGCATGAGTCTTCTGAGTCATTTTTCAAGCTTTTAATTTTTTCCCTTTCCCCCCTTTTATTTAAATTAGAAACAAGCTTCTTTTACATGTCAATACCAGTTCCCTCTCCCTTCCTTCCTCCCCTGCCCCCCAGCCCCCATCTCATCCCCTTTCTGCTCCCCAGGGAGAGTGAGGCCTTCCATTGGGGGATCTTCAAAGTCTGTCATATCATTTGGAGAGAAGCTAGGAAACAAGGAGGACCCTAAGAGAGACATAGGTACATGGTTCCCCGGAGAAGGGGAAAGGGACAAGATCTCCTGAGCTAATTGGGAGCATGGGGGGAGGGGAGAGGGAGTTAGAAGAAAGAGAAGGGGAGAGGAGGAGGGGAGAGGAGGACAGGAGAGAGCAGGAAGATCGAGTCAGGGGAAGACTAGAGGAGAGCAAGAAAAGAGATATCATAATAGAGGGGGCTATTATAGGTTTAAAGAGAAATCTGCCACTAGGGAAATTTCCAGAGATCTACGAGGTTGATTCCAACTAACAATCTAAGCAATAGTGGAGAGGCTACCTTGAATGTCCTTCCCTGATGATGAGACTGATAACTACCTTATATGTCATCCTAGAGCCTTCATCCAGTAGCTGATGGAAGTAGAAGCAGACACCCACAGCTAAACACTGAATTGAACTCAGGAATCCAGTTGCAGAGAGGGAGGAATGATGAGCAAAGAGATCAAGACCATGCTAGAGAAACCCACAGAAACAGCTGACCTGAACAAGGGGGAGCTCATGGATCCTATACTGATAGCTGGGAAACCAGCATAGGACTTTTCCAGACCCCCTGAACAAGGATG